CCCTACACAAGCTCCTTCCAGCCCCCGCCCCCCGCCCCAGCCCTCCCCACATTTATTCAGGGTCCCTTCATGGCACAAATGCAAAAGAGGCTAGAGTCCCGGTGTGAAAATTGCCCCCCTGCAGCTTGGGAAATGGGATCTCCCTATTCGTTCGTTTATTCCAAGTATTCATATGTACGCGACCCCGGGAACACAGCCCATGCCCGGAGAGACATGGCTGGTGTGGCACACACACGCGCGCACACACACACACACACACACACACCCATCCATGCACACCAGTCTAGACGCACAGCACCTGGCAGAGGAATTGGCCCAGGTCACGGCTCTTGTCGGGGGTCACTGTCTTTATTGACAAGAACTAGGGGGAGGAGTCGCACAGGATTTCCCTAAAGGGCCTTCCAGCTGCCCTTGGAGAACAGGCGCACCTGTCCCAGGGCTCAGGAAGGCGGGGCCGGCCAGGGAATGCCGAGATGCCAAGGCCCTTCTTCCCTCAGACCCCAGATCCTCATCAGGGGGATCCCAGACTGGGGGCCGGGCCTCCAGCGCCAACACGCGTACGAAGTCTGTTTCGGTGACCTCCTGAGGGGGCCGCGTTCCCCAAGCCCTGCCTGTCTTTGGCCTCTGACTCTCCGGAGCCTTCCTCCTGTCTTGGGCCCCGCAGTATTCTTACCTCCGAGAGCCAGAGCCAGAGAGGCTGCTGGCGGAAGGAGCAGGTGTCGGCCAAGCCTGGCATGGCATGGGGGTCGTTTCCACTTTATAACGTGACGCACCCACCCCCACCCCCACCCGTCGCCGTGTGCTTGGCGGCTTGCCCAGCATGACTCATTTTCTTCCCCAGATCTGAGCAGGTAGGCAAGCCGGGACAACCTCCGTTTTATGCCGGAGACACTGAGGCCCAGAGAGGTCAAGGCTAGGCAGGATCCTGAGGTGGGTTGGAGACCTAGGTCTCCCCAAATTGTGGTTTCGCGTACTTTCCCTGAGGAGCTCCCTGCCCTCCGCGGGGGGTGGCGGAGGGAGGATTGAGGGATTTAGCCTGAGTACCACCCTCCCCAGGGCCAGCCTCACTGTGGCTCTAAACGGTTATCTCTGGAGAGAGAGTCCTTGCATGGCGGCCCCTCCCTGTGGTCCCTGTCCAGGCCCCGCTGGCTTGTCTTCCCTGGGCCTCCTCAAACTGTAGCCCCAGAGAATGAGGGGCTTCCATCAAGACACGGCCCCTTCTAACCAGCACAGACAGGCCCTCCGGGCAGCCAGCGCCGTGCCTTCCAGACCATTTGCTTTCCCGTCCTCGCTGCATCGTTTTCTGGAGATTGATCAGGCCGGGCATCCACAGCCTGCCTTTGGGGACGCTACACCTGAGCCCGGCCCAGAGGGGCCAAGGATCGCTCCAAGATCACGGAGCAGATCTGTCCTCCACCCACCTCCTCCTCCTTCCCTCCCTTCTCTCTCCTCCTCTCCCTCCTTCTCTCCACCACGCTGTTGAGACGCTGTGCTTCCCTGCCAGTCTGCCTGGCCCGGATCCTGCCTTGGTCTCCGCGAGGGGAGGAACGCCAGGGGGTAGCTGCTAAGGGGAGGCTCCTGGAGCCCGCAGACGCCCAGAGACACCCCCACTCCAGCCACGGGACGCAGAGCGAGCCGCTTTGGGGATTGGTCAGCTGCCCTCAACGGGAGCTGAGCCAGGCTTCAGGTGGCCTAAATGTATGCAGTGTGGGGTCCCTCTTTATGAAAAAGAATACAAAATTACAAGTACAAAATAAGATACAGGGCCTTGGAAGGGCCCAAGGGGTAAGGGGCCCCGAAGCTGAACTGCCTGACTGTCCTGCAAAATCCCGGACAATTCTGTCCAGGAGCAGGGGAGCCCCAGCGCTGGCCGCCCGGGCCGAGAGGGCCTGGAGGTTCCTGGGTTGTTCAGCAAGGGAGGCCTGAGGCCCAGAGAGAAGAGCCCGCCCAGGCCTTGCAGCGAGTGGGGGAGAGCTGATGTGGGGCCTAAGCACTGTGTACCCCTCCCTGCACTGGGTAAGACTTTCTTCTATTTGGGGTCCCAGGCCCTCTCCTGGGAGCCTGACTCTGAGCCCCGGGCGATCCAGACCTCGGTCCATCCCTCCGAGGGCCAAGATCCGGGCCCATCTGCCAGGATGCTCTCTGTCTTTGAGGGGGAAGGCCGGTGCGCAGCTCTCTGGGCCCCACGCAGGCAGGTCGGCCCGCGGCAATGCCCCTCCGGACTTCTCGTCCAGCAGAGCCGGGCCAGGCTCAGTCCTCCCATCCCTGAGTCACAGAAGAGAACACGAGGTGCAGGGAAGGAAAGTGACCTACGCGAGGGTCACACCGTGAGTCTCAGCAGCCACAGGATGGGAGCCCAGGCCTCCACACATCCCGTCACGGGGCCCCGGGCACCGTGGGTGGCCCGCCCGAGGCGTCCCCACAGCTTCTGCCCCGTGCTTGGACCACGCTGGCCTCCCTGCGGGCCCCTACAGACAGCTGGCGTGCAGTGCGCCCAGCTTGCCCCCGGCTGCGGGCTCTCGGGGCAGGAACTGCCTCTGCTTGCTGGCCGTGCCGCTGGGCGGCCGCTCCTGCCCGCCGGTGCCAGGCCGTGCGATGAGGCTGACCCGGCCGTTTATCTCCTTCCCCTGCCCCTGCCCCCCTGCCGCCTCCTCGCCGTCCTCCTCCCCCTCGTCCTCCCCGGTCTTCTCCGGAGGCCCGGCAGAAGGCTCCTGACTGCGCACGCGGCGGGAAGGCCGCAGCAGGACCCTGCGGAAACCCTGCTTGAAGCGGTAGGAGAGGAAGCCGTAGAGGATGGGGTTGGCACAGCTGTTGGCATAGGGCAGCGCCACCACCAGGAAATAGAGGCCGAAGAAGGAGGGCTCCTCGGGCAGCGGGCGCACCACGTTGACGATGTTGAGCACGTAGAAGGGCATCCAGCAGAGGACGAAGAGCGCCACGACGGCCACCACCATGCGCGTGACCCTGCGCTCCGAGTGCCGCCGCCGCTGGCACGAGGGCGCCCGCACCCGCCGCCCGGCCGAGCGCACCTTGACCACGATGAGCAGGTAGCAGAGGCAGATGACCAGCAGCGGCCCGAAGAAGCCGAGCGCGGCCGTGTAGATGATGAAGCCCGCGCGCCAGGCGGCCGCCGGCTCGGGCCACTGCATGTGGCAGGTGCTCATGCCGTGGGGCACACCCGAGAAGACCACCACGGGCAGCACCACCACGGCCGAGGCCACCCAGACGGCCACGCTCACCGTGCGGGCCACGGGCGCCGTGCGCCAGCGGGCGGAGCAGGCGGGACGGACCACGGCGAGGTAGCGATCCACGCTCATGACCGTGAGGCAGAAGATGCTGGTGAACTGGTTGATGGCGTCCACGGCCATGACCAGGCGGCACATGAGGGAGCCGAAGGGCCAGTAGGACAGGGCGTTCTGGGCCGCCAGGAAGGGCAGCCCCAGCATGAAGAGCTCGTCGGCCAGCGCCAGGTTGAGGATGTAGACGTTGGTGACCGACGGGCTGGCCGTGTGCCGCAGGACCACGTAGATGACCAGCGAGTTGCCCAGCAGGCCCACCACGCACACCACCAGGTAGACCAGAGGGATCAGGACACCGCTGACGGCCAGCCCCGCCACGCTCGGGGCCGCGGACACGTTCCCCAGGGCGACATCCGGGGGCCAGGCCGAGGAGGTGTTCCCAGGCTCCCAGGCGGTGGGGGCCGATGAAGGAAAACCAGGGGTGTCCATGGCCGAGGAGGCGGAGGTGGCGGCGGTCAGCGGGCAGCTATTGGCCTGGAGGGGGAAGGACACGGCCGGGTCACGATGGGTGATGGCGGTCCCTCCACCGCCCCTCCCCCCGTCACTCCGAACTTGGAGACGCCGAGAGCGCCCGCCCGGCCAGAGCCGGACAGGCCCCAGCCATTTTACTCCGTACGGGCCGCCAAGGCATCCCCGCTTGTCAGACGAGGACACTGAGTCTCAGAGAGGTGACGTCTGTCACGTGGCCAGGGTGTGGCCGGGGACGCGGGCTTGCCTGGCTGCAAAGGGCATCCTGTGCCTCGCAGGGTCCCCTTCCCCTTGGCACCCGTGCCCCTGTGGGTCCTCCACAGGTGTCTAACGGAGGAGTGAACGGATCAGTCCACTGGCCCATGACAACACAGACCCTTCCTTCTAGACCAGAGTTTATCGGCCGTCTTTGACGCCAGCCTATTTTACATTGTGACTCAGCGAGGTCATACTGTTTCAGAAAGCAACACTTGCCCTTTCTACACAGGATGCCTCGGCTGTCAGAAGCCCAAGCCCAAGGGCATCACCCCCTGCGATAGACCGAACGTGTCCCCCTCTCCCAAATTCACGTGTTGAAACCCTCCCCCCCCCAGTAACGGTCTTAGGAGGCGT